ACAGCCTTTTTCCTCCCTTTTCATTTCCTCTCAAATCAACTCTACCTTTAGGAGAATTAACTTTTAATTTAATAATATAGTTTTATAATTTAATTTATTTTAAAATTATACAATACTTCATTTTTGTTACCATTGACGTGGGAATTGGAAGTCAATGCAGGTGGTGTCCGTCGAAAATTCACCACATTGGAAACAAGTCAAGTGACGATGGCCATGACAGGGGAAAAATAGTCCTTGCCACAGACAATTTTTTATCTTCGTTTGGCTTTTATCATTTTCCTCTGTAACAATAACTGGCCCTGCAATTGGCCTGATTGCATTATTGCACCTGCCAATAATTCAACATATCCCATCAACACAATTATCTTGCCTTATTAGTTATTGCTTTTGCTTTTTATAATTTTATAATAACATACTAAATTTTTGGATTAGCCCTTTACTTGTAAAAAAAAAGTAAAATTATTTTTGAAATTCTATTATTTTAATAAAATATAAAAAAATAAAAATAACTTAATTTATAAATTGAAAATAAAATATTTTAATTTTTTAATAAAAATTTATTAAAATAATATAATTTTAAAATTAAAATTTTAAAATTTTAAAAAATAAGCTAAATAAATATTATATCTTTAAATTTTACATGAAAATAAATTAGTTTTTTTTTTAATTTCAGTAAAATTTGGTTTCTTCCTGAAGATGCATATGCACAATTTAATAATATAATTATGCAATTTTTTTCCTCTTTCTCTTTATTTTAAATTAAACATATTTTAAAAAAATATATTTTATTTAATAATTTAATTATATAATTTAATACATTTTAGAAGATAAAATATTATATTTTTGTTACCATTAACGGGGAAATTTCAACTTGTATGTAACTAACATTTTCCCGTATAGCAATAATCGGGCCCGTAATTGGTCTCACTGAATTATCGCACTTGCAACTACCATCCACGTGATTACCTTGTCTTATCGCTTTTGCTTTTTTATTTCTTTTCTTCCAAAAAAATATAAATTGCCTTTTGCTTTTGGGATCCAAAATGCTAGTATTAGTCAAAATTTGGGATCCCACCTCTAAATTAAGACTAATTTAATTTGATTGATGTGTACTGCTCTAAGTTTGTAAGATGATCTTTGATCATGTCATTTGTGTAATCAAAATAACTACACACCCAAAAATATAATTTGTATGGTCATCTTTAATCATTTTAGAACACTTCATATTTTCCTTCAATTATACGTACACGTCAACCAAAATGTACTTTCAGATAATGGGACGATTGGACTGGATGTGGAAATTTCTGGTGGGCCTGGACACGGTGTTGGGTCGGTTCGTTCATTAATGGTGTTTGGTTGGTGCAAATTTTTGATAGGTGGGCTGAAGGAAAAATTATCCAGTAATAAATGAAAAGGGCACCGAAATGTGGATGGGTTGGGTTGTTGCCAGATGTAAGCAACGATATCCCTTCTGGTAAACAATGAGTACCCGAGCGAAAAAAAGGGGGACAATTTTACAAAAAAAAAAATGGAAAAAGTAGTTCTGAGACGTATTTTTTTTTTTTTTTTTGAATAATTTGTAATTATTTACAGGTTAATTGGGGAAAGGGATTTTGTGGGGTTCGAACATACAATCCACTGGAGGTGAACAGTCTTTACCTAGGGTCAATGCCACTAGATCGAAGCAACCGTTCGCTTTGAGACGTAATTTAAAAGGGAGTTGTGATTAGAATATTTGATAATGAATTATAAAAAAAATTAATAAAAAAATAATTTAATAAACAGTGATAAACTAGAAAATAAGACATAAATTTAAGTCCTTGATTTTTCATTTCTAACTCGTCTCTAGTTGAAGAGGGTAGTGCAAAAAGATACATGTTACATATCTTAGAAGTTGTAGAGAAATTGATAGTATTTAGCATCAATTGACTAAGACATCCACTCGTGGCCAAGAAACAAACTTGTTCTCATCTTTGGTGTAGATATCCAACAATCTATAACGACGAAATGGCAAAAGCAGAAAAAGAAATTTCCGTTAATGAAGCTTCAGGTTCCTTGCCTTCAAATTCAAACCAGGCTGCCCAATCACTCCATCTTGCACATCATTGAGTAATAATCTGAACTTTAGAATCGTGAAGACGAGCAATTGGTTTTACTTGCTTTCTTTGAGCTTGATTTGGATCTATTATATATTTTCCAGCTGCAACGAGAAATCCAAGTATAGAACCACTGGTGCAACTTCTGCAACTAGAAAGCTAGGCATAGTACTTAGTGCACCCAATTGAACAGTCCTTGTATGCTCTTCCCATTGTTCTTTCTTCACATGCTTCAGAACTTCTTCAAAATGTTCAGAAGCATCCTCCATATTTGTGACACATACCTGGAAGAGGGAAAAATAATAGACATTCAAATACACATGACACAACAAAATAGTGAATAGACATGCAAAACCCAATCAAACATCTCCAGTCTCACCAATCGTATGTACTAGACCTGGTAGTATAATATTTACAGGAAACGGAAAGCCAGGACTGCCAGGCAGTCCTGGCTTTCCGCATCCCCTAATATTTATTTCGGAGTAGCCATTCTGGTAACTAACTCCAGGGAAGTCAATCAAGAAGATCCTTTTTTCTTTCCTAATCAGCAAATTGATAGATTTGCAAATGTTTCCCATTGTGTAACATCATATACTATCTCAATACTGTAAGAACAACTGCATCAGAATAAATTAACAGCCTTTAAACACCATTAGCAAATCCTTACTTTTCAACCCAAAATAATAATAATAATAATAAGCATTGATAAAATCAAAACACCGAGAGTCTTCAAATGTAACCAGGCAGTCACCTTCAGAAATAGAGTCAATTTGTTCATGGCCAAAGCAGACATCTTTGAGGGCACATATGGAGACTATCAAAACTATGTGTCTAAATAAGAGGCAGCGGTGCAAGGACTGAAAATGAATGGCAAAACCAGAACAATTAAGAAAGAGGAAAAGAAAGCTCTTAAGTTTGTGCATCATATACGACAAATAATTAAAATACTGCATCAGCATAACAGCCTTTAAGCACTATTAGCAAGTCACTGACCAAGAATATTTAAATGTAACCAAAAGAGCAGTCACTTTTAGAAATCTGGGAAATCATTTCATGTCCATAGTAGACATCTTCAAGAGCAAATTAGAGGTAGAGCAGCAAGGGTTGATAATGAATGGCAAACCCGTAACAATTAGCAAAAACTTAAAAAGGACAAAGAAAGTTCTAAAGGTTTCCTCTGCAATTGTCTCAATATGCGTGCAACTATAGCAACATGATTTTTGCCAAAGACCCTAAGGGAAGCAGCAGGCAGCACACAAGTAATGCATGATTCACAGTTCCACAACTAAAATTTTTAAATGAGTGAACCTAAAAGGGGGTATACTTCAAATCATATCCTATTTGAGACATATATACAATCATGTTCATGCCTATGTCACTAAATTTACAGATAGATTTAAATGTATGAGGAAAAAGTCTTGAGTCAAAAACTGCTAGTTTAGATAACAGAAATCGTCAATGCATAGTTGACCTGTGCAATTTATAGAAGAAGACCAGTAAATATGTTAACGTACTGGATACCTGACAAACTGTAATTGCCTAACAGGATCTGAGCATTGTCTGCATGCTGAGAAAATCAGAATAGGACAAGAATGGTAAAGAAACAGACAGAGAGGCCAAGAAAGCTCCAAGGTCAGATTTTTCTATATAAAAAGCAATGCACCACCAATTTCTTCTTCAAGCTGTTTGGGTTGGGGTTCACTGCAACATGTAGGGATGGCAATTCTCCCCGCTCCCCGTGGGGCTCCGCGGGGATCCCCGTCACGGGGACGGGGCGGGGAGGAATATTCCTCCCCGCGGGGCGGGGATGGGGACCATTTTCTCCCCGCGAAATTTCGCGGGGAATTTTCCCCGCCCCGTGGGG